TTGCAGATGTAAAACTCAATTTCATTTGTCTTATGAGGCTATAATTCACAGATTGAAGACACAATATTTATAGTCATAGGATATTGCATTGAAATTACAATTGTATCTGACTATTTTTTTAAATAATTTTATCACTTTCACTTACTATATACATAATGTGAAATTTTGTTTTGAAAAACATCAAGACTGTTCTAATTAAGAATGCTTTATTTATTTTTTTTGACAGGCAGAGTGGACAGTGAGAGAGAGAGACAGAGAGAAAGGTCTTCCTTTGCTGTTGGTTCACCCTCCAATGGCCACCACAGCCAGCGCGCTGCGGCCTGCGCACCGCGCTGATCCGATGGCAGGAGCCAGATGCTTCTCCTGGTCTCCCATGGGGTGCAGGGCCCAAGCACTTGGGCCATCCTCCACTGCACTCCCTGGCCACAGCAGAGAGCTGGCCTGGAAGAGGGGCAACCGGGACAGAATCCGGAGCCCTGACTGGGACTAGAACCCGGTGTGCCGGCGCCGCAGGCGGAGGATTAGCCTAGTGAGCCGCGGCGCCGGCCAGAATGCTTTATTTTTACTTTGAGTTAATTCAAATTTATGAGTAAGTTGTTTTAAATATCTTGAAAATTTTAAAATTTTCATAACAAAACATTGCATTTATAATCTTGAAATAATGTAATATCAGCATGTCAATAAAAATATATTTTGTGATTACAGAAAAAAGTTCAAATTTCAAGAACTTAGATCCTTTAAGAATGAAATCCTCTAATTTTCATACTATTTCTGTTTACTTTAAAAGTTTTAATCCTTTTATTTCATATTTAAAATATATTTTAAATGATCAGTTGGTTTGAATGACTAATGAGTCATCATTAGTTTCATCAGAATGCAGAATTCAGCAGGCCATCCGCCTATTTGCCTTTAAAGGCCAAATGGCAAAGTGTACAGAGTGTAAGTTTAAAACAGAAACACACCCCAGTGATCTGCTTTACAACATAATGACTCTTATGATTAATGTACTGTTTATTTCAAAATTCTCACAGAGATTTTAAATGTTCTTATCACAAAGACATAACAACTGTACAGGCTAATGCACAACTGAATTAATGACTGAATCATTATTTGAAGTATATGTATATCTTATCATCTCATTGTAACACAAATAAATATGCTTATGATTTGCTAAAGCAATATGAAATAACATACATAAAGATAGAATCAATAAATTTTATTCTGGATGTAAGTGAAAAAATGAAGCAAAGTAATGATGAGAATTAGCCGTGCCTTGCTGATGAGAATCAAATGCCTCAAGAAACAATCTGTAGAACTCACTATTTTCTTTTCTTTTTTTTTTTTTGACAGGCAGAGTTAGACAGAGAGAGAGAAACAGAGAAAAAGGTCTTCCTTCCATTGGTTCACTCCCCAAATGGCCACCACGGCCGGTGCACTGTGCCAATCCGAAGCCAGGAGCCAGGTACTTCCTCCTGGTCTCCCATGCGGGTATAGACACCCAAGCACTTGGGCCATCCTCCAATGCCTTCCTGGGCCACAGCAGAGAGCTGGACTGGAAAAGGAGCAACTAGGACAGAATCTGGCGCCCCAACTGGACTAGAACCCAGGGTGCCGGCGCCGCAGGCAGAGGTTTAGCTTAGTGAGCCACGGCACCGGCCCGCGTTATGTATTTCTTGTGTTTGGGCATGGGCACTCCGAGATAAAGAGCCTCCCCTGCAACAGAGGGAACAGGTTTTCAATTTCCTTCCAAATTCCCTACCTTAGACTATTGTTGTGACTCTCAACCTCTCATGTTTATGATGTATAGGCACATGATGATAAGATATATGCAAGCCAATCATATCTGTTAGATTTCCAAAAATTTCTGTGTGCAGGTTTTACAATGGTATACAAAATACAGTCAATTAATGAGAAAAACATTTTTGATTTGTGTAATTCAATAATGAAGTAAAAGATACTATTTTGTAGTATAGGTTATATAGCTACATCTGAGCTAGGCAGAGTAAAAAAATCTATGTATAAATAATATCAGCCGGCGCCGCGGCTCAATAGGCTAATCCTCCGCCTAGCGGCGCCGGCACACCAGGTTCTAGTCCCGGTCGGGGCGCCGGATTCTGTCCCAGTTGCCCCTCTTCCAGGCCAGCTCTCTGCTGTGGCCAGGGAGTGCAGTGGAGGATGGCCCAAGTGCTTGGGCCCTGCACCCTCATGGGAGACCAGGAGAAGCACCTGGCTCCTGGCTCCTGCCATCGGATCAGCGTGGTGCGCCGGCCGCAGCGCGCTGGCCACGGCGGCCATTGGAGGGTGAACCAACGGCAAAGGAAGACCTTTCTCTCTCTCTCTCTCTCTCACTGTCCACTCTTCCTGTCAAAAAATATTTTTTAAATCAATATTTCTCTGTATTTCAACATAAAGATGAAAATCTTACAGTTATTTTTATCCAAAATGACATATCATTGTGTATAAAATGGCTCCTGTGTTCTTGTAAAAGGCTTCTTCCTTTCATTGCACTTCTCTTTGCTTCTGATATAAGTCCATATTTTTTTTGACAGGCAGAGTGGACAGTGAGAGAGAGAGACAGAGAGAAAGGTCTTCCTTTGCTGTTGGTTCACCCTCCAATGGCCGCCGTGCCCGGTGTGCTTTGGCTGGCGCACCGCGCTGATCCGATGGCAGGAGCCAGGTGCTTTTCCTGGTCTCCCATGGGGTGCAGGGCCCAAGCACTTGGGCCATCCTCCACTGCACTCCCTGGCCACAGCAGAGAGCTGGCCTGGAAGAGGGGCAACTGGGACAGAATCCGGCGCCCCGACCGCAACTAGAACCCGGTGTGCCGGCTCCGCTAGGTGGAGGATTAGCCTAGTGAGCTGTGGCACTGGCCATAAGTCCATATATTTTACAGTAATTCATTTGTTCTTAGTATGTTAAATGGTGCTATTTGTCTCACCATAATTCACAATTACATATATATTTTGGAGCTTGCAATATTGACAGTAAAATAAAAATAAGAAAAATGATCATGAAATACATCTTCATTATTTGTCTTCTGATTTCATAAGGTTCACCCTTGGCACCAGCAGAAAATGGTAATTGAGTCTCTTTCTTTCATGGCAAATTCTAAGGTAAGTTTTCACATTTGTATATTTTTTAAATAAATCATTTGGAATCCACTTTCCTTTACACTATGATCAACTTGTATCTGACATGTATGGATTTGATCTCTATGCATACCTTCTATTTTCTTTTTCCTATTGTCTGCACTGTGTTATTCAAAACCCTTTAATTGTTTCCATGTCATGGCTTGCAAATTCAGCAAATTCAAATACAGGGTCCCTAAGTTTAAATTACAGGGAATTAATGGCCTTTAGTAAAAATATGTAATATGTGTCTATTAGCTTGCAATAGCTAAATCCTTTGCCTAAAATATCTTTAATGCAGTTCCTGTTTTTATCTACTAAATTCTCTTCTTTGGAACCATAGTTCTCTAGAGTCCAGCATCAGCACCAAGGTCCTCAGAACCTTTCTGATATAGTGTGTTGTCCTCCTGCAGATGAACACTTGCAGATGGTGATAGGACTGCATCCAAAAGAGTGAGGTAGATATAACTTTGGGTCAGAGAAGAAATACTAAAATTATTTTCTGCAATATTTTATCTGACCATCTCCTTGTTTTATGGCTCAAAATGCATTGCATTAATAAAATGATCTAGGTGTATTCAAGAAAAATAAGTGTTCATTGGTATCTGTGCCCTATTTATTTTCACTATACTTAAGAGGAACTCTTAAAATCTGGGAATGATTATGATTGTGCCTTTAAGTCAATATGATTTTGCTACTTCTCCTGGTCTAACCTGAGAGCAAAACCATGTTTGTTGAGAATCATCAATTTATTCGTAGTAGCAACAGGCTGTCTGGCAGTTCACATACACAAATATTTTAGTAAGTGAAGCTTTTGGTAAAAGGGTATCAAATGTATAAGACTCCATGATTTCCCTATTATAAACACAAGCATTTCAATTGGAATTATACTTTTTTTCCTAATTCAACTATGAATTTCTAAATATGAACCAAGAACAAAACTTCCCAACATACTTGAATACTTACATTGTTGGGCCTACAGTGATACAGGTGGCTTTGAAAACAATCACATTCATTGGCCTTGGGAATGTGATAATTTTCAGTTTTCTTAGCATCATATAAATAAGTATTTTATCAGATCGCTGTGGGTTAAATGTCCCCTCTGAAACTTATGTTGAAATTTAATTGCCAGTTAAGTAGTATTAAGAGGTGAGGTTATTCAGAGGTGATCAGGCCATGAAGGCTGCACCTTCACGGTATAGGCTGTGCCATTTTAAAAGGGCATGTGTACTCTCTTGCTTTATTGCTCTTTAACCTTTTGCTATGGGAAAACACAGCAAGAAAAACAAGCATCAAATTATGTACCCGAGATCATGGAATTTCCAACCTCCAGAACTGTGAGAAAATACATTTATGTTATTTAATCTTTTTGTTATAGCAGCAAGACATGGAAAGAAAACCCCAGATTAAATTAATTAGATAACATTATTTTGCTTATGTTTCATGTAATAGCATGGTAACGTAATAGTGAAATTTTAACATTGTAGCTATGTTTAATAAGGCTTGAAAAGAATGATCTTAATTATTGCAGATCTAAGAGTTTTTTAAAGCATGGGAGACTATTCCACAATTTTGTTAGCAATAAAATATCACCATGTGCTGATGCTGATCAAAATTCATTCAAATTATAGTGTTTATGATTTGTTCTTTTGCTATTTGAAAGCAGAATTTCACATACCCTATTGAATTGAAGACTTCACATAAGGAATATCTGGTATGGAAACTGAAAATAGCAGAAATTTAAGAACATTCTGAAGATGGGAAGCTAACACACAATTTGGTTTTCTGGTATGCAGAGTAATACTTGCTGATGATGTGAGATCTACTGTATTTGCTTTTCAAGAATGCATGTGTATCCTCCCCATTAATAAGATGAGCACATTTTCTGCTCATGTAGCTATTAATAAATATATTCTCTGCCAAGCTGGCATTGGAATCTTATGCAACAATTTCCTCCTCCTGCACATCTTCACATTCTTGCAGTGTCACAAGCCAAAGCTCACTGATCTGATCACCTGTCATCTGGCCCTTGTACACACAGTGATGCTTCTCATTGTGCTATTTTTGAGGTCTCTAGACCTGTTTGAGTCCCTGAATTTTTTCAATGACTTCAAGTGTAAGACTTTGTTCTACATAATTAGGGTGATGAGGGGCCTCTCCATCTGCACCACCTGCCTCCTGAGCATCTTCCAGGCCATCACCATTTGTCCCAGCACTTCCTGGTTGGCAAAGTTTAAATATAAATCCATACATTTTATCTTCTACTTACTCTTATCATTGTGGATTCTCTGTTTGTGTTTTAGTACTAGCACGATCTTCCACACTGTGGCGTCTTCCAATGTGACCCAAACCAATCTGATGGTTCTCACTAAATATTGTTCATTTTCCCCCATAAGCCCTAGCATCAGGAGTTTAATGTTCACACTGACAACATCCAGGGACATCTTCCTTGTAGCAATCATGCTGCTCTCAAGTGTCTACATGGTGATCCTCTTGTCCAGGCATCAGAGGAGGTCCCAGTACCTTCAGAGCACCGTCCTCTCCCCAAGATCCTCCCCAGAGAAAAGGGCCACCCAGACCATTCTACTGCTGGTGAGTTTCTTTGTGGTCGTGTACTGGGTGGACTTCATCATCTCATTCTCCTCAATGATATTATGGTCATATGACTCACTTATCTTGGGTGTACAGGGTGTTGTGGTCATTGGCTATGCCACTGTCAGTCCATTGGTGCTAATCAGTTCAAATAAAAAAAGAATTAATATTTTGCAAATTATACCATGGAAAAGCTTTGTATTTTAACAAATTGAGTAAAAAAAGTGTGGTCTTTGGGTGACCATGTAGCACAGAGGATGCTGCTTCAGATGCACACATCCCGTATCACAGTCCTGTGTTTGAATACCACCTGTGCTTCTGGTTCTGCTTTGTGTAAATGCATATCCTGGAAGGCAGCAGATGTTGGCTTAAGTATGTAGGCTCCTGCCACCCATATAGGAGAAACATATGAAAATCTAGAATCCTGAGTTTGGCATTCCATACCCTGCTGTTGCCGGCCTTTGAGAGAAAATCAGATGAATGATCAATCTCTCTCGCGCGTGTGTGCTCTCTCTCTTTCTTTCGCTCTCTTTCTCTCTCTCTCTCTCTCTCTCCTTTTTCTCTTATTCTATGCCTTTCAAATAGAGTAACAATTAGTAAATTGTCTTAAAATAGATATTTCACACATGATGGAAAATATTCTAATGGAATATGTTTCTATGGGATTCAACAAATCACTATGGAATTACACCTTTATATCTAAATACTTTGAAATCTATATTGCTGAGTAATACATTTCTTTCAGTTAATATGCACCATGAATTGATATTCCATATGTTTCCCCATTACTTGTTCTTTCATTTTTATTTCATATTTTCACACAGGAAATCTTTTACATCTTTTTAATCACTGTAGAGGTACTTGCTGAAAATCAAACATTTCATTATTCTTATTTTGGAAAAAATCACTGTTATAAAATAAAAATAGATCATCATTTAGTCCTAGTGGACATTATTGTAAGAAATGGTATTTTTTCTCCCTCTTTTGTGTGTTTTTGTAATAAAGGCTGTGGAAATATTGCTTTCATTGCTTTTAAGTTGAAAGTCTTCTCCTCCATGCATTCTAAAGTCATATCTCTACTCAGTTTCACTAAATTTTATTTTGATTTCTCTTTGAGCAATTTTCCTTTTTAATATTTTTATTATAATGCATAGAGGATCATATGTCTGATAAACTATGTTAGGCATTTATAAATTGGTTTTATTAGATTACATATTTCATAGTTTTATAAAATCTCTAATCATATGATCCAAATAAATGTGTTTTATTTCTTATCATTCTTGTTGTCATTTGATTACATTTGGATTCTCTATTACATGGTAATTCTTTAAAGCAATTTGGAAGCTCTGGTTTCAGTTCATTAACACTCTAATCACCTGAGTTTAATTTAATGTTTAACTTGTACATTATATAGCTTATTTGTTACATTTGCAAGTATTTGTTTTATTTTGTTATGTTCCAATTATAGCTAATGGCAGAAAAGGAAGAAGAAGGTCCAGGGTTGAGTCCCTTGTTGATGAGATGATCTCAGAAGCAGTAGGTCTGCCATTGCCCCTGGAGTCCTCATTTATGAGGTCTCTAACCAGACTGGGTCAGGGAAACACACACACATGCAGCTCTGCTCCTCCTTTTGTTAGTCTCCTCTGTGCTCCCCAATACACTGCCCTGGAGATGTTGATTTGTTAGCTTATGGTGTACCTGAGTGTTTGTGTGACAACTTCTGCAAATGTGCCAGCCCATTGTCTCTTGTGAATGCATTTAAACTGCTCCAATCTTCAATGTGTTCAGAAGAAATACAGTCATCACAGATTTGTGAGAAGAAATGATCACAGTGATATTATTTTAGCATCTCAAATGAGTGTAGAACTCATACTTCCTTTGTAGTCTATTTTCCCTCTCCTGCTTATGTTGTTCTTTTAAAAGTTTTCTGTCCCTTCAGAAAGCTCAAGGAAAATGTGCATAATCTTTGAATGTCCCATTCCACAAACTTTTCTGATGCCCTCTGCGTAGATTTAGAATCACACCAGAGAGCACTGTGATGATTGCTTCCATCATCAAATCTAATTTAGAAAACTCAAGAAATGCTGCTATTTTTACCCCTATCTTTGCTTACGAAATTCTTTATTCCTCCCTGATAGTCTAAGAGCCTTTCTTTTAATATTCCCTTTATTTGGGACTTCATATAGCCACTCTTCTAGAGTAGTTCTGTTAGTAATCCATTATCTTAGAATTCTTTCATCCGAGAATATTTTGATTATCCTCCATTCTTTTCTTTAAGATTTATTTATTTGAAAGGTAGAGTTACACAGAGAGAGATTTCTTCCATTCACTGGTTCATTCCCTAAATGACCATATGGCTGGGACTGGGCTGATCTGAAGCCAGGGGCCAAGAGCTTCTTCTGAGTCTCCTACATGGGTGGCCCAAGCACTTGGGCAACCTTCCCCTGCTTTCCCAGACCATTAGTAGGGAGCTGGATTGGAAGTGGAGCAGCTGGGACCGGAACTGACATCCATGTGGGGGTGCTGTTGTAGCAGGTGGAGGCTTTACCCTCTACACTACAATGTTGGCCCAATTCCCCTTCATTCTTGAAAGATATTTCCATTGGAGATAGCATTCTGGGCTGACAGTTCTTATCTCTTAGTGTTTGAAAAGTTTAGTGACTCTTCCATTTGTAAAGTCAACAACAGGAGTCACTGTGCACTTACTCCTCATGTAGGATCTCTGTCCTTAATGTGCTGTACATTGAGACTTAATGCTATAACGAGTACTCAAACAGTATATTTCACTTTGTGTTTCTATGGGGGTACAAACTGTTGAAATCTTTACTTAATGTATACTAAACTGATCTTCTGTAAAAAAAAAAAAAAAGAGAAGAAATTATCAATTCCCAACTTGACTCTCACTGGGATTAAAAATGACAATAGGTCTGATCTGATTTCATCATCATTTAAAAATCATCTATTATTTTTCACTTTATGTTTGTGTGGGAGCAAACTGTTGAAATCTTTACTTAATGTATGCTAAACTGATCTTCTGTATATAAAGAGAATCGAAAATGAATCCTCATGTGAATGGAAGGGGAGATGGAGTGGGAAGGGGGAGGGATGCGGGTGGGAGAAACGATATGGGGTGGAAGCCATTGTAATCCATAAGCTGTACTTTGGAAATTTATATTCATTAAATAAAAGTAAAAAAAAAAAGTTTAGTGACTCTTCCTTTTGGCTTCCATAATTTCTAATGAGAAATCTGCTGTCATTAGAATTGTTTCTTGCTTTAGGTAATGTACTGTTTCTCCTTCACTTCTTTCAAGAATTTTTCATTGTTTTCACAAGTTTGACACTGGTGTCTCTTTTTAAAAAATTATTTATTTATTTGAAAGTCAGAGTTACAGAAAGAGAAGGAAAGGCAGAGAGACAGAGAGAGAGAGAGAGAGGTCATCCATCCACTGGTTCACTCCCCAATTGGCCACAAAGGCTGGAGCTGTGCCAATCTGAAGCCTGGAACTTCCTCCAGGTCTTTTCACATGGATGCAGGGGCCCAAGGCCTTGGGCCATCTTCTACTGCTTTCCCAGACCACAGCAGAGAGCTGGATTGGAAGTGAAGCAGCTGGGACTCAAACCAGCGCCCATAAGGGATGCTGGCACTGCAGGTGGCAGCCCCACCCACCACACCAAAGCTCCGGACTCTGGTGTCTCTTGATGTGGATTTCTTGGAATTAAGGTGTTTTGGACTCTCTCAAATTCTCAAATCTGTAGATTTCTGTCTTTTGGCAAGTAGGGGAAGTTTTTGGCTAAAAGACAATGCAAAATTTCTACCCTTTAATGCAGCAATATTTCTTTTAGAAGTTTCTTTTTTTAAACAAAGATTTATTTATTTGAAAGGCAAGATTATTGGGAGGGTGGGAGGGAGAGAAGAAGGAAGGGAGGGAGGAAGGGAGGGAGAGAGAGAGAGACAGAGACACACAGAGAGAATATGAGAGAATGAGAGAGAATAAGGATATCTTCCATCTTCTGGTTCACTCCCCATATGGCCGCAACGGCCTGAGCTGGTCAGATCTAAAGCCAAGAGCCAGGAGCCAGGAGCTTCATCTGTGTCTCCCATGTGTGTGCAGAGGCCCAAGGATTTGGTCTGTCTTTTGCTGCTTTCCCAGGCACATTAGCAGGGAGCTGAATTCAAAGTGGAGCAGCTGGGACTTGAACCAGAACCCATATGGCATGCTAGTACAGCAGACAGCGGTGTTACTGGCTAAGCCATAGTGCCAGCCCCTTAGCAGTTTCTTAAAAGTAATGCACCACTGATATGTTAAAATTTATTTGTAAACACTTACCATTATTTTTATACTCCTAGGAAACTGGGAAATCACAAATGGTCCAAAATAATTGATTGGATAAATGAACCATTGCTCAATAAACTTCTACCATATAATCATTAACTGGGATGTGGAAGAGTAATGGAATTAAAATGATCAAAATATGCTGCTAAATTTAAAAAGCAGATGAAAATTATGTTTAAATGATTCTATTAAATATATGTGGAAATGATACATATTGCAATTTTAGCATTGCTGGTATATAGCTTTATAAACATTAGCCAGTTGCTTACATTATTGGTACTTAGGTTTCTTGTTTATAAGATGGAGATAATGATTGAGGATTCTTCAGAAGATTCTTCTGTAATATTTTGATGTATATTAAGTGATTATACATGAAGAAATTAGAAAAGTACCTGGCATAGAGTAAATGACTCATACAGGTCAATTATGACTTATTATTGGAAGGAACTGTTGTATATCAAAATGGTGACAGCATTTAGAATTATCTAGATGTAGAATTTCAACTGCATTTCTTTTTGTGCTTATTTTTAGTTCTGCATGTAAGTGTAAGTGCATGAATGAGAATACCTCAAAAACTTCATGGAAGATGAAAGTGAAAGACAAGTTTATTAGGTGCGAAAATTTGTTTTGAAACCTGTTTTGTTTTTCCATAACTCATTTTCATGAGCCTTTGGAAGACCTTTGCATGAATTTCAAAAATTATTTTTGCACCAGAATATAGTTTTCTTTAATTATATTTTCAATGAGTTTTTAAAAAAGATTTTATTTATTTATTTGAAAGTCAAAGTTACACAGAGAGAAGAGAAGCATAGACAGAGAAAGAGGTCTTCCATCCGATGGTTCATTCCTCAATTGGCTGCATTGGCCAGAGCT